AGTTTTTTGCTGAGCACAGTGAGTGAGACGAGTATCTCACCAGGCAGGACGATACTGAGAGGAAGGACAGCCCCATCTTCTGGAAGCTGAGGTGGTTGAAGCTCTTGCCCAATTTTGCCAAGAGATTCGAAGCAAGAAGCCTGTTCTGGGGTGAGTTTCTGCAGTAAACTCAGCCGGCTGTCTGCAGCAGCGAGGTGCTGCTGGCATACGTGCTGTCCCCACCGTGAGCTGGCCTGCTCGGGTCAGTAAGCTCTGCATGAACTCACTGCCTGGCCCTAAAGGATTGGCAAAACAGGAAACTCTTTCAAAGGTGTCTAAGGACTTGATGTTGATGTTTGAATTTCCCTTTCATATTGCTGCAGCATTTTTGTCCAGGCACTTTATCCCTGCAGCTCAAAGCTGTCATTTATTTGTAGTCAGAGATTTTGTGCTTTTGAAATTAAAGCCAAGGTGGACAGAAAATAAAAGTATTCCAAGACACTTTAGTGCATTAGACAAGTGTTAATTAGGGGAAGCTGAGTCTTTCCAGCCCTTGAGGCAAAGCATATTTGGTGTACAAATAATTCAGAAAAAGGCAAAGCTGTTCTGCCTAGTGAGATTTTTGGTCCTATACAGTTTGAGGAAAACACAGAATGTACTCATCAGTGGAAACAGAGTTATAACAGTGAGAGTAACTTAGAAGGAGCTGATGGGATCAGAGGCAAATGCAGAATGTGTGGCCACAGCTGGGAAAGCAGCATCCTTGCTCAGCCAGACACACAAGCAAGAAAATGGGCTGAGAAAACATGGCAGGGTTATTAAGGGAGCTCCTCTGGTCACAGCCCAACCTGTGAAATGGGTTCTGTCTGCTCACAGCCTGTGATCACAGAAGCAAGCAGTGTGTACCTCACCCTTTTCCCAGGAGTTTTTCAGCAACTGGCAGTGATGGTTATTAAAAAATACACTCTTGAAGCTGCACCTGGAGCTGGCCACATTTTGATGACAAATTTTGGCAAATTGTGTACTTGGAAGAACTATGCAAAAAAATCTACCAAGAATCTGTGAAAATAACCCCTTAGGTAAAACTTTGTCCCACTTGTTATCCAGCTCAGCAAATAGTAATGCCCTGCCCCTGAATTCAAATTCCCATCAGAGCCATTTTCCCCAGACAATGGTTTTCTTTGCCCTGGTAAACACACAAAGTGGGCATTTTCTCTGGGGAAGTATTATGAAACAAAACCTTTTCTCCCAAAGGGAAACACTTTTCGCAAGCCATTGAGATGCTAAGGGACAACATGTTACTTTAATATCATCTTAAATGAAAAAAAATGAAATGTTCTTGCATTTAATTTTACTGGTACACATATCTGCCATTGAAGTTCTGACTTTATTTTGAAAGAGTGATTTATGGATTTAGCTTTTGGTTCATTTTAAACTTATTTTAAGGGTCATAAAAAATCTCACTTTGGAAGTGCAGAATGATTAATTTCTCAACTACATTTTTGCTTTGAAGTGTCTGTTGGCTGTTAATAAAATAAGTCCTTTTACATTTTCTTCAAAGTCACAAAACACAAATACACATGGATGCTTTGGGCCAAAGAAGGGGGCTGAAAACCTGTCTGGCAGTGGGAATTTAGCTGAAAGAAGGAGAGGAGCTGCTGTCTCACCAATCTGGGGAAAAGTGCTGCATTTGTTCAGCCAAAGCCTCTGCATGTGGAGGCAATGGGAAAGTTGGGACTGGGTCTGCAGAGAACCCAATTTAGAGGGTGGAGTCTTAGGCAATGAACATAACATTTTGTTAGAAAAACACTAGTGTTTTCATAGCCCAGATTTCATAAAGCTGATGTCTGTCTGACTGAAAGCTAAGTGCCTTGCAGCCCTGCACTCAGTGTTTGCTTAGTGGTGAATACTGTAGTAGGCTCTGTGTCCAGCTCACAGCTGCTTTTGGAGTGTGTCTAGAAACACTCGTGCCTCTGAGACATGGAGAAACATGTAGGCTCAGAGGAGCAAATTTCCAGCTGGCAGAGCTAGGCAGCCACCCTCAGAAGCCACTGGCTCAGGCTGGCTGAGAATTAACCTCAAGTACTGGGGAGTGAGATTTTTCAAAAGGGCCACAGTCAGAGCAGAATGCTAAACTCAGGTGCTGATGCTCTGGACCACTGCTGTAGTGCAAAGGTCCTTCCGCCCTTGGGGAAGCATTTCACCAGGAACACTGCAAAACAATTTCCAACTGGAGCCAGCAGCTGTGCTGCCATCATGGCGCAGAACAGTGGAGAAGGGAGAAAAAAATCAAAGCAAGTTGGACCTGAGCAAGGGATATGCCATGAAAGGAGTTATCTCTGGAACACATAATTCTCAAAACCGAAAGTCTTTCTTTTGCTAAAATATTTCACATTTCTCTTACAGAGAGTCCCAGTTAGCTGTTGCACTTTGGTCACTTAGCTCTAAACCAGAAAATGCCACTGAACATGACACAATTCCTTTTTAAAGATGCTTAAGATCATTTGACATTATTTCTCGAACTGACCTTCCACAGCCACCTCACAGAGTCCAACCCCTTCCTACGGGTAGGACACTTTAGAGGACATGTACTGAAGCATGCCACTGAAAAACTTGCCTGGCAGGGCAATTCCACCACATGGGAACTGCCTAATTTTTGCACCGTTGAGGGAAAGGGGGTCTGGGCTCCAAAGCCAGCACCTGGCAGAGGTGGCGCCAGGCCCCGCTCGCTGCTCTCATGGTGCCACTCGTGGCCCCAGGGCTCTCCAAGGGCTTCTGCAGGGCCACCTTGCTGCGGCCTTTCAGCCCCTGCCCGAGGCCCAGCAGAGCCCTGCACGGGGGCTGTGTCCAAGGGCCTGCAGGGACAGCAGCAGGGCCAGTGGCTTCCCCGTGACACGGGGCAGCCTTAGGCTGGACATGTGCAAGAAATTCTGGCCTCTGAGGCTGGCGAGGGCCCGGCCCACGCTGCCCACAGCAGCTGGCCGTGTTCCAGGCCAGCTTGGCTGGGGCTTGGAGCACCCTGGCCTAGCAGAAGGTGTCCCTGCCCATGGCAGCGGGGCTGGAAGGAGGCAATTTCTAAGGAGCCTGCCCAGCCAAGCCATTCTGTGATTCTGTGATCAGAGGGGCTGGGGACGGCTGGGCCTCATTTCTCATTGGAACCACTTCAGCACTCTGAGTCTGCTTGAGTTCAAGGAGACAGTTGATGAGCCCACACTGACGGCGTGTGACGTTTACCCGTGCCATAGGTCTGGCTGAGATCAATAAAGTCTCGCACAATGCAGATTCTGCAATGTTGCATTTTATTGAAACAAGAGCAAAGCAGTTTCCAGCTTGCCCATCCTGAACATGCTAACTACAGAGCATTAATATGGCTCACAACTGAGAGCCACACTAGATATGGATTTGCTTGTATATCAAAATATTATCCTACGTGTTCTATCTGTTCTATATGCTATTAATATACCTATTTGATGAAACTGACTCCAGACAAAAATGCACTAATAGCATGAATATGCATCACAATAGATAGTGACACCACATATGTCCTCTATTGTTATTATTTAAATATATTTACATATTCAACTCTTTAGAATAATATTGCTTCATGAC